TTCCTTTCCTTTCCTTTCCTTTCCTTTCCTTTCCTTTCCTTTCCTTTCCTTTCCTTTCCTTTCCTTTCCTTTCCTGGGAACTGAGGAGGGTCCCTTCTGAGACGCTTCCCACGCCCCCATTCCTCCTGTGGGCTAAGATATCTCTTGTCAGACCATTGCCCTGGCTGTGGTTCTTCCCCCATCTCCCAAGGTTATTCTCGCAGTCCATTACAGAACGGGACTGTAATGGCAAAATAAACAGGACTTGAATTAAAAAAATAAAAAAGTAAATGTCCTCCCTTGACAAACTATACTTTAGAAAAACAAAGGATGGTACTGAAGCTCTTAAAATGTATAGCTTGGGGGCTAATTTTAGAACCAGATGGCACGGTCAGACTGACATAGCACGAAGAAGAGGCAGCTCTTGGAATTTCAAAATGGTGGCAGAGGCAATATGTAGCCTAAAGTGGGAGGCTGCCTGCCTGCCCCTCGCCCCCTCACCCCAGTAGAGATTGCCTCTCACTAAAGGGCTGTGAAGCAAGACACGCAGCCAACTTAGAGAGAAGATGTGAAGGAGAACAGCAAGATCAAGTTCTCTGTCAGCCTTGGCTCCTTACCCCAGGTAGGATGCTTATTGTAGTTGCAGTACTCTGCTCCAGAAGGTAGGGGGTAAAAATAATATCCACAGCCGCAGTTTTCAATCATCTGATGCTGGAAGCAGGAATGCAAACAGGCCTGCAAGATAGTGAAATGGGGATGTGGGTGGGAGAGCAGAACAAAATAAGGGGGATTTTCCTGATGCACTGAACTTGGAACTTGAGACCCTCTAGATGACCAGAGAAGCGTGGGCTCCCAGGAGTGGTGAGGGCTATATATATAACCAAGGAACACGAAGACTGTACAGCTCTGGGAGTGAGCAGGGAAAAGATCTGAGCTAATGTAGACAAGAGGACAAGGTGCTGGGCATGAATTTCACACCTGGATTGCAATTAGCTTTATAGCCCATGCATTGGGGAGGTTGGACCTGGATATTGCTTGAATGGGAGACCACCAGGAAATGCAAGGCTTGTGGACTAGACTGGGAAGTCAACAAAGCTTCCTGGAAAAAGGCAAGGGAAAACTACGTCCATATTTGTGCCAAGGGATGCGCATGAACTTGTCCATGAAGGCACCACTGACAAGTTTGACTTGTCAATCTTTCCTTTAAATAGCCCAAACACTGAGCATAGAAGGGAGGACATTGTGAATCAAATAGAGTTTGATGCGGGGTCTGCCGACAAGGAGATTCTCTCAACAGGAGAACCCATCATCTAACAAGGCTGAGACTCAAGGCAGATGAAAATATTTTTTTCAAGCAATATAAATGAAATTGCTACCCCAAGTATATTTATTTAATTTACTTGGAAATTTTAAATATAAACTATATATTAATATAGTATAGTGATGGCTACCAACTGGGAAGACTTGAAAAGAGGGATTAGACAAATTTATGGAGAAGATCCATTACTCATAATGATTATATATTGTCTCTAGTATTGGCAACTGCAAACGAATCAATATCAGTGCCTAAGGAATTCGGTGACTAGAAGGATACAATGATCTCTGGACTTTCCAAAGGCATCTGGTTGCAGACCATGGGAAGAGAATTCTGGGCTTCTTGGTCATATCCTTGGCCAGGATCAGTGTTATCAACTGAGATGAGACAGGATTTAAAGATAGGAAATGAACAAATAAACTGGGACCACACCCTCTTTGCTTCTTCCATACCTGTAGTGTATATGTGCTGTTGTAGATTAGCTTGATGTTGACATCCTCCCCATTATTGGTACAGGCGCCGTAATTCCCACCTAAACGTGACACCTCATCCTATGCCAGTGGAAGAGAAAAAGAACATTTTATTGCAGGTTTTGAATATCTTGAAACCCAGCTGCCAATGCTTAGTACTTTCTGGACTAAGCTGAAATAGTTTCCCTATGTGCATATTTAGAATATGGGAACATGCGTTATTCACTTGTCTTGGCTTGCTGTGTGAGTGGTTATACATATAGAGAACAATTTACTGCTCTTATGGCTATGGGGTACCTCAGGGTGAATACTGTAAAGCACTGGTAGAAACCTACCAACCTGCACTGGACCAGTGTGATAGCTTACAGTCCACAACTTTCAGTGAATCACAACGTATATATGTGGTAGTAGGAGCATTTGGGGCCATGACTCCTAAGCTGGAAGAGTGACTCCAACAGATCCCGGGAACAACATCAGAGCTCTCTGTCCAGAAGAGTGCAGGACTAGGAACAGCTAAGATACTGCACAAAACCCTGAAACTCCCAGGCCTCTGGTAGAGGACCCAAGATTGAGGAAGACACATACCACCCATAGAGGTGAGAGGGGATTTTTAAAATAATATTTATTATACACACACACACGTGCGCACATACGTATACATAGAGAGAGAGAAGGGTGGGTATGTGGGGAGTCATGAGAATCTCCCTGTCAGCACTTCCTGTTCTTGAAAGTCCCCTTTGAGAGACCAACAGGCCCACCTCTTTGATTCCAATGGTGCTTTCAATCCCAGGTCTGATATCAAAACCTTCATGCTCCAAAAAGGGTGTTTGGTTGTGCTTGTGAATCATGACTTTCACACCTGCCGTGGTGGACAGCAAAGGGATGTGGTCTTTCTGCTCCACTTTGAGAATAAGGGATAGGCCTGTTTTGGAAAGCAGGAGGGAGGGAAGGAGAAACAGACATTTTGAAATCAGGACTCGGCAAAAGAGGGCAGGGCTTGTTTTCATCATGCTCAGATTGTACTTTAGGTGAGGAGGTTCACTAGAAATAAAATCTTCCCTGCACATGGCTTGCCTTGATGTTGTGATTAACAAGTATGGAAGCAGCACTGGTTGTGTGGGTTGTGTTTCATTTGTGAATTATTCACTGTGGCTCTGCAACCTGCCATGTGAATAGATGAGGGAGGAGCTGCCTTGAGGAATATGTAATGGTGTATCTGCATGTGCTCCTATGTTCTCCTGTAGAGATCAAGGAAGTTCACAGATCTCAGATAAATTAGGGATGTGGGGAAATGGTTCAAATTTACATTTAGTGTAAATTTATATAATTTGTACCATCCACACATTACATGGACTAACATGTTATTATTTTTCATACTTCATACTTTTCCAAATTCCAAATGTATTTTTCTGACCACCTCTAGCTCCAGATCAGAATGGCAGCTCTCCAAGCTGATGTTTTGGGCTCCCTAAATTCTGAGTTTGTATTTTTGACCATGCACAGAATCCTTTTTGTGGTGACATTAGATTGCGCACGTGAGCATTCCTCCTCCTTTTGCTTTTAACGTTTCCATTTTAGTTTCCCTGAAGCTGCCTCTGTTTTCAGTATCGCTGGTGTTATAACAAGTACATCTTTTATTGTTTTATGCTCATTTAGGATTGTGTGCTCTATTTTATTGCCTTTTTTAAAAATATTCTCATGAGTTCTACTGTGTATCTTCTGTCAATCTGCAACAATAATATAGTGATTTTTTTTTAGGGCTTCTAAAAACAACAAAAGCTCTGAAAGGCTCACAGAGATTTGATGCCCGATTTGCGCCAAGATGAAAAAACTCTGTGACTCACCCTATGCTGTTTCTTCAGATCTCTTTAGAGTAACACATTAGTTCTAAAAACAGTGTTAGCATCGTATAAACTTGCTGGCTGCCTGCTTGATTTCTTTTTAAACACATCCTGTATCTTATTGCTGCTATGCTCAGAGCAACCTATATCTAGCATTACGTTCCCCAAAGTGCTGCCCAGGTCTGTAGCAGTCTTTTCATTCTACCCGCCCTTCCCTCCAGGTCCTTTCTCAGTGTTTCTCACTCATTCTGTTCCTTATAGCTAAGGTGACATGAGGCCGTGGGATTCCGTTTCTCCACATTTACTCTTTCCTTCATTAAAATCAGTCTTCAAAACTACTGTTTGCTATATCTCTGGGGAAAACATACAAGTGCCCATGTGATGCCTGTATCTTTTCCTTCTAAAGAGTAGCAACTTCAGGAAAACGTAAACCACTTCCATAAATAACCTTGCCAAGAAAACTGCATCAATGTGTTCATTAAGTCAAGCTTTACATGAATTGAAGGGAACACTTTTCAATTTTTGGGAAAAAAACTAGCTGAGATCAACTCATGAGTCTCTTCTTGCATCTAAGAATATAAGAACCTAAAGATGGTATCCTGTTTTCCACAGTGGCCAATCAAACCCTGCAAGCAGGAAGGGTACAGCAGCCCCCAGCCACTGAGATTTCAGAAGTGCACACCATCTAATTCTGCAAGATTTGGATCAATTTGGTTTTTCCATCTGTACGTACCGTAAACAATTCCTGGCTTGAAAGCTTTCCAGAACTTATCTGTTCCGTTCTTGTTAAGAGTGAAGCAGCTTCCGTAGACAGGGTGATGAAAATGTTCATGATCGCTGTTGTGAAAAGACATCAGAGGAGGAAGAAAGAAGAACGAAAATATCAGGATATGCCCAGATTTGAACAGATACAAGCAATTTCTGGGCATTTCAAAATGGTGGCTAACAGTGGACCAGTTCTCTCCCTATTGGGAAAGTTTTTATATTTTGTTTGTTTTGTTTGTGATAAATGTTACAGCCTTTTTCATAGAAGGTGGTCTCACTTCATATATTCATGCAATAGCAACCAATAGGTAGGTCGGACTAGGAAAGCAACTGGCCTCAAGTCACCCACATGAGCTCCATAATCAAGTGGGCAGTTAAATTGGGCTCCCTAACACTTTAACTGATGCACTACGTGGCTTCTTTAGGATGGTTTCTGAGAGATTTAAAAATATATCTATGTAGCATATGATTAACTAAATCTTATGGAGACCTTGTGTAATCTGTTATATTTACACCTGCTTTGTGGGCTGAGTCAAGGTCACGTCTGGCAATTTCTTAGAATATCCAAGCATTTGTGAGTTTCTTAAGATTTGCCGGGATAACACTAAAACAAATGTTGGACACAGTGTGATGATCTTGCTTCTTTCAGTTTATTCCTTTGTATCTCATTTCAGTACAGATCAGGCAGAGGTTGCTGTTTCCTGCTTTGGCTCCACCAAAAGGGGAAAAAAAAAAAAAACAGGAAAAGGTGATACTGTGTACCGTACAGGCAAGATAAGGTAGGATACAGAAATGGTAAAGAGCTACATGTGAGTTCTAGCGTCAAAAGTCACCCTCTGTGGTATATTTAAGCCAAGTGCAATCAAAGAGCTGGTACAAAGTGAAAGGTTTTCTGAAAATTCAAAGGCTGATAGGCGAAAGGTCTTTGGAATAGTGGTGGATAATATGTCAATAATTATCCTGTTTGCTTCACCAAATCGTGCCTTCTTAAACGGAAAGGGGTTACATGTCATTAATCTGGAAGACTGAGAAATAGAGCTAGCTCACTATGTTAGGTCAAACTCTTGCTTAGCGCAGAGATGCATACATTTCAGGGTCTGCAGATGGAATGCAAAAGCTTTTTTGTTTTTTATTTGCCACATTGCATGGTTTTATTTATCTAATTAATACATCCCGGGCAATCCCAGGTTGGTGTGTAAGTGAGGAACACCTGGAACCCAGCTGCCAACCCAGATCAGTAATATTGGGCTAGATCAGAAGCCCAGAAGTTTTCTGGGTTGAAGGCCACATGTGGGGTTGTGAGAGACATGACAGTGTTGGCCACATTCCAAGAAGGAATAGGTGGAGCCAGGAGAGAGATAAACGTGCATTGCATCAATGCTTATATTGATTCTGGATTGTATCAATGCTTAAAGGGACATTCAATTCACCTGATTACTCTCCAAAAGCGCAGTTAAGCATTCCCCTTTCTGTCAGGTTAAACATTAAAATTTGATATCTACAGATATCTAAAATAAATAGAGAAGATTGAGGAGAAAGAGACATGGGAGAAACCCAAACCAACCCATTTGTCCAGCCCTGTGTGCGTTGTTCCAGTGATACAAACTGAAGCCTCTCACTTACTTGTGCAATCAGACTAGCTTTGGGCTGGGTGGCTTCGCAATGTGGCCAAAGGGATATCAAAGGTAGAACACATACCTTTTGCCCTTCTTTCCTGTCCAGCTCAGTTGCAAAGCATCTGCAGTGTCCCCAGGACGACGTTCTGGGCAAGTGTCAGGAGAAGTTATTTAACCAGGTATGGGCAGGTTTGCACTGGTTTTATCAGATTTTTCTCAACACGCCGCCACTATGGAAGGCTAACGTGAGCTGGAGAGGACTGGGCGGCACCCGGAATAGCTTCGGCCTTCCCTTTACCTCAAGAGATACAGGGAGCAGATGGAGCCTGGAGCAATGCCAGGGATTTCTCCCCTTCAATGTCCTGGATTTTTCCCTGAAGGAGAAAACTGTCCACACCCTGTTGTGGAACTTAAGAAACTAACTTGGTGCCTGTGAAATTGGAGATTTAAATAGGTGGGGTGCACTTGACGGATGGGGTTAGAAGGGAAGGCACAAAGGGATCCTGCAGTTCTTCTTTTGCGAATACAGTAATCCATTTAATTATCTGTGCTTGTTTCCAAAGTGGAACCAGCGTGTTAGGAAACTTTCATTGTTTACTTTGTGTTGTTTTCATTTTCTGATTTCGTCTACTCAGTACCACTGAGTATGGCCAAGAAGCACCTGAATTTGTGAAATCTGTCCCTGTGATTGTATCAAAGTCCTTTCAAATGATATTTTATGGTGTCAGTCAAAGAGTTGGGCTAGAGAAGCAATTCTGTACTGGGGAGGTGAGAATCCAGGACAAAACAGGCCCCACAGCAGAAGCAGAAGTTGATTACCTTGTTCGGCATGGCTGCCCATCATACTGGCAAGAATAGATCAGGTTCCTGATGTGATCGTCACCTTGGGACATTTTGATAATGGATGGAATCTGTGACATGATATTCATGTAGTGGAAACGGTACCACTCTTGGACAGCGTCCACTCCAGAAATGTAGACCTTATTGTAGCAGTTTCCACCGGTTGTGTTGCACTTGGGAACAAACAGAAAGGGAGGAGGGAAAAGATGCTCAGATTCTAAGAAACTGTAATGCAATGTTTTGATAGATGTCACCTACAGAGAGCAGAAAAGCAGCTTTCTGGGGCCCTGCTTCCTACAGTAGAAACCCATAAATAGGACACAAGGGACATTTGCCATGGGAGTACTGGATTAGCTGTCCCTCTGAAACTTGATCATTCTGATCTAGCATTTCTCCCTTCCTGTTGACCTTACTTTCTGTGCCCAAGGACCAGTCGAATCCAGCAGTGCAAAGATCTCTGCATTGTGCTTGCAAAAATAGCTGGGAGGTATTTCTAATGCAAAGGTCATTTAGAGGGGGAAAAACAGAGAACTTCTCAAAGGAAGCCTGCATTTAGAGTTGTCTACATTGCTGCCGCCAGTATGATGCTGAAATCAGATTCATCCGTGTATACTGACTACATAACCCCACATAAATCTTGAAATTGTACATCAAGATACTATGGGATCTTCTCATTGAGTCAGTATCTCATGAGCAACACTTCTTGAGTTCCCTAAGCTATTCTTAATTGCCAGGTTTGTTGCTGGGGTTTAACAATAACACATTCCTTAAGCCCATGATTATTATTTATTTTATTTGTACAAAAGAAGGGAGGCTGTTGTGGGAGAGGCAAGAACTTAGCTGGGGGAAGTGCCTTGTACTGGACTGAGTCATGATTTCAGAAAAGCTCCCTCCTTCATTATTATTATTTTACGCTAGTAAAAGCTTGCCTCACTTCCTCCAGATTTGATGGCCTAGGGTTTCTACAGAAGCTGTCACCCAAGGGGAGTTATCTGAGTTGGGAAGGCTGTTTTAAAATTACCGAATAAGAAACTTAAGGAAGATAGCAAGGTTATTGGGGAAAGGTTCATTCTCTTTTCCAGATTTTATTTTCCAGATCAATGTACTGTGACTACTGCATATCCTAAGTTCTCACTGATCTATTGTTCAGAGGGTGGTCCTCCAGAAGTCTACTTTGAGAATCCTTCAAACTCCCCAGGTCACGCTACCCTAAGAACATTTGTTTCTCATTGGCTCTGAGCCACCAATACCCACGCTCCTTAAATTTGACGCAAATGGTCAATAAAGGAAGGTGCTACAAATACAAAACTTACCAGCCGAAATCCCACTTTTCCATGCAGCTTCACTAGGGCGATGCTACGATCCAGTTGAAACTTGGAGCCATTGATCTTGCCAGGATTTTCATCTGAAAAGTCTTCCAGATTGGCACCGACATCTTCTAGAATGCTCTTAGGAATGTGGAAGCCATATAAACTATATAAGGTTTCTCTCGCCAGATTATCTAGTTCAGCTATATCCTGACTGATTGGGCTGATCCTGGGAAAATGGTAGAAATGACAAAGGATTATGAAAGCCAGTGCAAAACTTCCAAAACCTTGTTTGGGAGGAAATACTATCCTTTTCCTCACAACACTATGTTGGGTTATGCTAAATCATCCCATTAATTATATTTGGTTAATTTCCAGGAACCTTTGCACTCACAGTTAACAGTCTTCAAGGACATCAGCAAGAATTAAAATCAGTTTAGCTGTGTAGAGCCATAACACTGGCCTGATTATTCTCTGGTCCCTGATTGGCTCTGACACCCACCCACCCACCCATCCTCCCTCCCTCCCTCCCTTCCTTGGCTGCCTCATTTGTCCAAATGACAATAAGAGATTTATTCATTTATCAAATTTTTATGGCCGCCCATATCACAAAAAAGTGACTCTGGACAGCGTACAACACTTAATTAATTAATTAATTAACCAATAAATATATAAAAACATTCATTTTTAAGAACTATGAAAAAGCACAACAGCAAGAGAGGATGATGTACAATATTTAAAGAGTAAAACAAGTAGAAAACAGTAGTAGCAACAATTTAGATTACTAAAGCAGAGAAGGAAACACCAAGAACTAAGGAATAACATCCTTGCAACAATAGTAGTAAAAAGGTCCAGGAAATGATTAATATTGTAAGGATTTTTTTGGGAGCAGGGGAACTACTTCTGTCCAATTTCCCAAAACTGAGAAGCAAGGTCCAGGAGTGGGGGAAACTTACCTATATGGATTCAAACTGCAAAGCGTGATGGCAGGGAACATCTTTGGTTCTGAATGAACAGACATTGACATGATGACAGGGTAGGCCCAGTACTGGTTGAAGATCAGTGCAAACTGCCAGTAGAGCATAGCGAAGCTGGCCAAGAAGAGCAGAGCCCAGAAGGCTGTCTTCATCTTATTGCGGCTTGAGCAGACCAGGCGAATGGTGCCATGGATTGTGGTATTTAGACAGAAGAACTCAAACAGGTCCTTGAAAGAGCTGTAAAACTCAATCAAGGCTGCATCCTCCTCCTTGGTTTCTGCCTCTGTCTCTTTTGGCAAATTTTCCCCCATTCTGTAAACCTGGAACAGGAGTTTGGAATTCTGAATTAGGGCAAGCCAAAGGTTTTGTAATCCACCACTCTTCCTCTGGTTTCTTTCTCTCTTTTTTTCCCCCTCCAAGTTTGAGAATTCCCAAGCAGTATAGTCAATATGATTAATCCAGTGCCTGAACACTTTCTTGATGCCTGTAATAAATTCCTTGTTCTTACAAATCTCAAACAGGTCTCCAGGCCCAGTAGTTGCCCAGAGAAAGGAGTGAGGAATTTAAATAACAGGATATAACTTTCAAGAGTATTGTTTTATTTCCCAGATTTCAACATTTACTGGTTACATGAGTCAATAATACATATGAATTGCAGTGTTCCATGGGTGGGCTGATTGGGGTTTTTGGATTTTGAAAGACTTGTGAAATGTACAAAAGGAATAGCGGCAGTCTTAAGGTACAGCTGTTTCTTCACTCTTGGAACCTATGCGAAATCTGATCAGGCAAGATTTTTAAATTATCTCTTTAATGCAACTTTCTTTTACGCAGTGACAACTGAGCTATAAAGAATATACACCTGTTTCTGAGAAGCCCTAAGAAAAACAAAACAAAACAAAAACAGGACAAAAATACAAGTCTTTACAAGATACTGCTCTCTGCTGGTTGCAAGCAAGACTGCCAAATACTTATTGGATATTACACTACACAGAAGTGAACAACGATATTCATATGGACAGAAAGTTCAAGGTGTTTGCAGAGCTGTAGCCCAGAATATTTTTAGAGCTTTCTGCAAAAAATTGTTCCACTTCAAGCAAAGAGTTTCAAACTTGTACGACATATGCTTTTCAGGTGATTGTTCTAAAAAGCCAAGAAGCAGGAATTTTATAGCTCCAAAGGCATGGAGAAAAGAAAAGAGAAAGGGGAGCTAGAGACGCTACAGGAAAGAAAGGAACAAGGACTGAAATGATGAATCACATCTCTGTGTGTCTGCAGAAAGTGTAGTTTCGGATATCTGGATGGCTGTTTCTAAATTCACCTAATTTCCATTTGCATTTATTCTTTCCATGCCGACTGCCGGCAAAGTAAAATTGAAAGATAAAAAGGTTCTAGATTTTGTGAGCGAGCAGAATTACAATGAATTCCTTAAAGAAAAGGTCATTGAAATAAAATAAACAGTCAATATATTTGTCTTAGCGTGCTGAGCAATAGAGTCAAGTGTGTGTCTGACAGGGTCTTTCTGCCTGAGAAATATTTTGAACAGCAGAGAAGTGACTTGAATTTGCGCAGAATTTGCATCCTAATTCCAAACTCAGATTTCAATAGGAAAAAAGTACTTTTGCTATAATCCAGTTGTAACACTTATATAAAGTCCAATGTATACACTGGGTCTACTCAGAAATCAAAGTAGACATGCTTCTGCTTTATTTATGTCCTCTAAGTCACGGTCACCTGTCAGTGTTAAGTTAGTTATAAAATTCAAAATTCTGCTGCCTTGTACAAAATCTTATCTCTGCCCTAAACTTGGAAATGCTGGGTTGGTTTCTGCCTCTTTTCTGTCCATTGATTACCTGACTTCTGAATCTACTTACATTTCTGTTTTTTCTCAGCTGGAAGCAGGGTCAAGTTGGATTCCAAACAGACAGAAAAAGAGTTGCGTAATAACTACATGATGCAAGCAATTGAATTATACAGATGTCATCATCAGGTAAAAAACTAAACACTTATTATCTGTACTAATGATAACATTATGACAAGGACAAGTAGCTGTTGAATCATCTTTGTGTTTCCAACACCATGTTGCAGAAATGACAGTGATTCAAGCCAGATTCAGTATTCATTATCCAATGCTGCAGATTCTGAGGTAATGAAATATACTGTTTGAGGATGTGTGCCCTTGTGTGTTCCACTCACCAAAATTCATTAGTTAACAGGAAAAGCCCTTGATACTGATTAACCTGTTTTTACCTTTTGGGGAGTTCATAAAAGTCCAACCCACTTCTCGAGGTGAAATCAAACATCACTAACAGATGATTAGATGTATATGTGTCGGGCCTAGCCCAAGGAACTCCAGGAGACCATGCAGAATCAATCCAGCAAAGTTTATTAGCTGCAACCCATTAACAAGAATCTTCCCAGAATGAAACCAGTTCCCAGTCTCAGTCAGTTAACACCGATGGATTTTCTTAGGGAGGTGCCAGTCTCCTCCGCTTATCTCTTCCTCGCTCCTCTGGAGATGAGAGCACATTCTTTACTCCCCTCCCACCTTCCAGTCCAACACAATATGTCTAGACTGCACATGCTTATATTCTAGTATTACTAGGTAGCGTTGGGTCAATCCCTTTCTTTCTCCAACTCCAGGGCTGCTGTTTCTGGGGAAAGGTGGGGAGGAGGTAACACTAGGTAAGCCACCTTGAGTGATGCAGTAAAGAGGGCAGATATGGGAAATGCTGAAGATCACCTCAGAAAGAGGAAGAAAAAGGATGCTTGCAGTTAAGACTGGGGAGAAGGTCTGCAGTTCTATGGCCCAACCCTTGCCTTCTGGGCGCTAGATCCTGCGTTCAAGTTCTGGCTTCACAGCTTAAAGATAGACGAGAGAGCATGTTGTGGGAAAGGACCTGTCCCTGCTGCCGCTTGACCTCAATAAGTAGAATCTAGAGTAGCAATCTGTGAAACTGAAACCTTTGCGTGCAGCTTCCAGCCTGTTCATCCTCACTGCCTGTGTTAAAGGAAGACTGGATATGGCTCATGAGGAGGGTTTTATGTGTGTTCTGAGCAAATAAATTCACCTAAGCAAATAAGTTCACAACAGTGTTTTTACTAGGCAACTTGCCAACGTCCATCTCCATTAGATGTTGGAAAGGTCCCCACAGCTGGGAAAGGGGACCAGCCGTCTTCCTTTGAGTCATGTTCTTGACAGGGAACCTTTATGGCTGCTTTAATTCACTCTTCTTCAGTTCTTTTCTTCAATTTTAGAAATCTAAAATGGAGTGAGTTAGTTAGCAGTTGTGTATTGTCTTAATATGTATGTAGTTTAGTGTGTGGTGTTGTATGGATTCACCGATAAGAAAGCTTTTCTGACTCATCTTTGTTGAAAAGAAGCACTTTCCTTTTGATAATCTAGTATTTCAATGCTTTCGTATAGATAAGTTTTCTCCCCTTAAGTCTAGAACACAAAAATGGGTAAGACTTCTAGAACATTTTATTAACAGGCAATGGTTTTCATGCTAAAATATATTTTATTTTTATGCATACCCATATCTATGATACACCTTTCTGCTGAATGTGAAATAATTTCAAGATTAAATTTTGACTTATTTACTGATGACCCTCCATCCACATATTTTTGTTTTTACACTTGTTTGTACACTTGTTTAACACATAGGTCCAGCAGAAACCAAAATTATTTAACAAAAAAACAAAGGAAATCAAAACTATCTGCTAACTAGACTCAAATTGTTTGAGAGTCTGCATTCTATTTCTTCTTTTTTATACAGAATGTGCTCCTTTTGTGGGGCAGCAGGAAGCCAATCAGTTCAGACCAACTGATAGAGTCATCACTGCTAATTTAGAAGCGCTTAGAAAATCACTGCGTGGCCATGCCCTGGAACCAAGCAACACAATCCATGTGCATTTACTCAGAAGTGACTGCTGACCTCGTGACATTTTACAAGGATTTACTGGACAAGATATTCATACACGCTATGTCAGGTTGCTTGCCAAACCCAGCAGCGGCTGGTGTGGAATTCCATTTGCAAACCTGCGTGTTAAACCTCACTGGCCTGAAACAGAGAGACACGTGCCCAAGGATCAGAAGAAAAGTTCATCCAGAAGTATGTGTGCCTCCCTTCAGTGAAGCTTGCTCCCTTGACTGTGGTTTTAATTACCATCCTCCTGCTTGGCCACCGTTCTCTGCACATTCAAAATAACAGATGTATTCATTTGTAAGAATGAAAACAGAATAATCAGTGTCTTCAAAGACAGCCGTTAAAGGAGCCAAAATAAGAACAAGCGGCCGGTCCTCATGATGAGGCAATGTCTGATGAAAAGGGAGCATTTTGTTATGTGACTGAAATGTCTACACTTGAATGGAGGGGACTGATCCTCCCCAACTAAATTTGATGGGCTTCAGCTCTCATTATCCCCATCCAGCATGGGTACAGGTGATTGGAACTGAAATACAATACATTTGGAAGACATAAAATCAGCAAGAGAAAGTTTCTTTTCTAAGAGAGACTTTCCTGGGACAGTCTCACTGAACTGAATGCATTGTAATTTTAAATTGACACGGAGCTTCTATAGCATTCCAACCTTGCATTATTAAAACCCTTCATTTTTTTCCCTTCTACAAACCCTGGTAGCTGCTTGATTGGATATACCCAAATCTATCTCCCAAGCAGTACACATAAAGTAAATCCACGTTTGAGCTTTGTTCGCACTGGTAATTACTGCACTATTGCACTAATCATTAAGACTAATGCCTGCAACCATATTAATATTGCTGCACCCACCTACCCAATCCTCTCAATATGTAAGAGATCTCTCATGGGGTTGTAGGAGGAGCAGCTGGGTATGAGTAGATGCAGGGACTCAGATCTAAGCATCAACATCTGGGATCTTGATGAATGAAGAACTCAGAGAACTGCTATGAGTGCCCAATCATTTGCGTCAGTATACATGAGCTTCAGGGGGGACACGGTGGTGCAGCGGCTTAATGACGCTGAAAGTTGCCGGCCAGAAATGGTCGACGCTTCAGAGGTTCGAGTCCAGCCTTCGCGTTAGCAGGGTGAGCTCCTGTTTCCTCCCCAGTTCCTGTAA